ATGGGGATACGAATTTTATCTTCGAGTGCTGAAAGTATTTCTCACTTGTTCGCTGCACTCATTCATGAGAGATACTTTCAGCACTCGAAGATAAAATTTTTATTGGTACTTGGAAATTTCATCAGTATCTATATAATAAACAGAACATTACATGGCCACATGGGGATACGAATTTTATCTTCGAGTGCTGAGAGTATCTCTCACTTGTTCGCTGCACTCATTCATGAGAGATACTTTCAGCACTCGAAGATAAAATTTGTATCCCCGCGCAGCCATGTAATATCCTCTATATCTAAATACATCACTGTCATTGTCAAGCCCCTCATAAGTAACAGGGAGCCGTCAGGTAAATCTTACAAAATGCTGGAATACAACCTGCCAAAGACTGGCATCTGTACCAGAGGTAGCAACGTGCCTAGCTGATTCATGCCAACAAACGTAGGATAGGTTCTCTCAGCTGCTGTGTGGGTATCAGTTTTGCATGCAGACTTGATCTCAAATTGAATTACATGTATATGAAATATGCTCCCTAATTTGAAAATATCAAAGCAGTGCATCTCATATTTATCATGAATATATAAACAGTACTCTACCTTGAGCTGGTTTCTTCTCAAATGGTATCTCAGCATTGTAATCCACCCCTCTCTTTTTCTTTCTGTGTTTTCTTATTCTAAAGTTTTAACAAATAAAATTTAATTGCAAATGTTCTAGTGGATGAGGTTTTTGAAAGGATTCAGGTTCTTTAACAAAGATGTCTTCTATGAATTGAATTTCTAAAAAATCAACCATCTATAAAATATGAATAATATGTATTAGTATAATTTCAGAGCTGAGCAACTTGAAGAGTTCCCAGCAATCTGATTGGTCGAGCGGTTCCTTATATGACGCTATATAAACCCCTCCACGTAGTTTATATAAAATGTTAATAAATGTTACTAAGATGTTACGATTTTAGAAATTTCCCTGTTGCTCAGCTCTGAAATTATACTAAAACAATTATTCGCCTCAGGTTCGGTGAATATTGTCGAATAATCCCCTTGACTTCGCCTTGGGGATTATTCGATGATATTCACCTCGCTTTTGGTGAATAATTGTTAAATAGAGAGTAAATCAGGATAATTCACATGTAAATTAGCCATCTCAGATTCATATTTTTTACGGGAATTTTACTGTTTTCTGCCTATCAATAAAAATTATTTGGTTGTGTCCTCAATAAACTTTGAACAAGGCATTTACTCAAACTAAGAGAGGTGGTATTGGTAAAAAAAAAAAAAAAGATAAATCAAAAGAGGGAAGAAAATGAAGTCACTGGCTATCAGTCCCAAAGAAGGCCACAGAGGATTGCTGGCTGACACATTTTAATCACCGCTCAATAATATAACTAATGAACCTACTCTATTCCAGCAGCTCTCAGTTCCCTCCTCTTCTGCAAGGCAGCCAGTCGTCTACAACATTAATTCAAAATGACTTTGTCAGGCACCTGTTTATAGACTGTACATATACATAAATGTAAAGTAAATGCTCCAAGTAGCCCCCCCCCCCCTGGGAAGCTCTAATAGGCCTCTGAGGGGTCTTATTCAACTCCCCTATCACCCCTCAATGCCAATGTTGCATCATAAGCATGCAGAATGAGAATACGAGGCATGCTCACTCAATAAATACATACATACATTTTATTGTGTTTTGAGATAAAAGTAAAGTAACATGCCCGCAGGTAGCTAAGTTAATCTACAGGCGGGTGATGGTTACAGGAAATAGATACAACTAAATACAGCTAAAAGTAATAAGAGAACAAAAAAAGCTAGAATTCACAACAATGACTACAGACTACTGATAAACTAATGATATTACTAATATTAAATGACAACAGTTTTGACCGGAAATTACTGATACATTAACCGATATAATTGAATACATATCAACTGATCAATCAAGAGGAAGATAAATTCAACTTAACTTTTTGAACGATTTCTGGAAGATCAATATAAAATTTACAAACTAAATAAATAGATTATACAAATTACTGGCTATGTTATAAACTTTATTTATTAAAAACTGGATCATTGGATAATGCAATTCAAGACTTTTTATTGGCTTAGCCATTATGGTATAGGAGCCAATATACCATACTCTAATATCTGTACATTGTAACATCTGGTTTCTTCTT